GCATGCCTCGGGGGACTCGCGATCTGGATCGTCGAACGGTCCAAAGGCTGCATGGCAAGTACTGATCGCTGGCCAATGATACATACTCGACTGGAAGAGTGTGCCAACGAATCCCCATGTGACAAGCCTTGGCGCATTACCACCTGACCGCTGGCTTTGCCTTGACATTGACAACCAATCATGCTGCGACTCGTGAGAAACGGGACCCGAGGTGAGGAGAGACAAGGAAGATGAGGAGGGGGGACAGGGATAGGTTGAAGCAGAGGCGGAGAGCAGGGGGAGGAGAGACGAGGCCGAAGAAGGAGGCCCCGACCGAAGTGAACCCCACCCTCCCCCTCAGAAATCGTGGGGGGTAGAGGTAGGGTTCGCATGTGGCCCCCTACTGCTGACGAGGGGGGACGGGGACGAGGGCTGCCTGGGAGCGGGGCGGGCACCGTGCAGGGGCCCAGCGCTGCGCGCTGCGACAGGGTGGGCGCAGAGCACGGCAGACGCAGCGGCTCCCCCGCTCGGAGGCCGCCCGGGGGTCGCCCCCAAAGGCCTCCCTGGCGGGGCGGGCCAGCCGCCTCTCCCGGATGGGGCGCCCGCTCGATCCGCTGCCCCACTTGATGCTGCAGGCGCACGTGGCCTGAGCTCGAGACCTCGGGGCGGCGACGACGAAATCCTAGCTGCAGCACGCCTTCCCCCGTCTCCTCGCCCTCCTCCTCCTCAGCCCCGGTCCTGCCCGATCTTCCTGTGCGAGGCCCGGACGGCCGGTCGTCGCAACGCGGCCCAGAAGTGGCCACGACGCCTGTGGAGCACCTTGTGGCCGTCTCCTGGGCGGGCTCCGGCGGCATCGGGGCCGTGACCTCTCGAGACCCCTCCAGATACCGAGCCGTCTGGTGACAGCTGGCCAAAGTGTGGAGGAACAGAAAACTGCACGAACATAAACTTCGACGGTCCGCGCGGATTCCCTGGAGCTGCGCCAGGCGCGGCGCCCGAGGCTCCGCTGGGGGGGGCCCAGCGCGGATCCAAGAGATCCCCGCGGAGCGCCACAAGTTTATGCTCAGGGCGTTCCTTGTTCTTCGAAAGCCGTCTGGTGGCAGGTGGCCAGGCGGCGTGCGAGCCCGACGCCCTCACTGGGTGCCAGCTTGCCTCACCGCTCTGGGGCGAGGGGGACACCAGGTTCGGCGAGGCCTCCCGCGAGAGGAGAAGGAGGAGGAGGAGGAGGAGGAGGAGGAGGAGGAGGAGGAGGAGGAGGGAGAGGAGGAGGATGGAGGAGGAGGAGGAGGAGGAGGAGGAGGAGGAGGAGAGGAGGAGGAGGAGGAGGAGGAGAGGAGGAGGAGGAGGAGGAGGAGGAGGAGGAGGAGGAGGAGGAGGAGAGAGGAGGAGGAGGAGGAGGAGGAGGAGGAGAGGAGTGAGGAGGAGGAGAAGGAGGAGGAGGAGGAGGAGGAGGAGGGAGGAGGAGGAGGAGGAGGAGGAGGAGGAGGAGGAGCAGGAGCCGGGGACACCCGGCGCTCGACCTCCCCGAAAGCCCACCCATGCCCCCAAACAGCACCCTACTCCCATCGCGATAGTGCCGCGTCTGGGCCCTGCGCCCGCCTGCCTCGTGGGCCCGAGAAGAGGAGCACCATCATGAAGGGGACCAAGGACGCACAAAGAAATACACACACAGATAGCAGGATTCCCAATATTTTCCCAGCTTTTCTGGGTTTTTGCGTCTTCCCCCCCACTGCCCATAGTTTCCCAGATTGTCCTGGGATGCGACGATTAATAGTGTCTGTGTGTTTTTTCCCCTCCTGACATCACCATCGCGAGCAGCCAGGGAGGGTCCCCCTAATAGTGGTCGGGCCATTCTGTTTTGCGACATCCTATGCTCGAGACATCATCAGCTGCCAGCTGGGGGAAGCACTGTGGACCTTGAAGTGGCCCGCTGATGGCAGTGGTGTCCCTTCTCCCCCCTCCCAAACATGTAAAGGGGCCGCCTAGATGGGGTCGGGGTAGATAGGGTCGGACGATTGCGCCGCATCGCCGATACATCACGATGCATCGGCGATGCATCGGCGATGGACCGGCGATGCATCGTCGACGTCGCCGATGTATCGGCGCCGTCGGCGTGTGGAGGAAATCGGGCTCCGCATCGAGCCGTATCGTCGATGCATCGGCGATGCGGCGCGATCCTCCGACCCCATCTAGGAGGCCTAGAATGTCGCCCTCCCCAGGAATGCCCACAGCGTGTTGGTCACGTGCTGCGGCTCGAAGTCCCGGATGCGCCTCTGCGTCTGAATGCAGACCATGTCCACCCACGGGCCGCGGTCTCTGCCTCGGCCCCCGCCGGCGAAAAGACAGATCGTAGACCTACCCGTGGTGGGCTTCTTTTCCACCGACATCACCATAAGTTGGAAGGGGAGGGGGTCCGCCTCCTTCTCCTCCTCCTCCTCCTCCTCCTCCTCCTCCTCCTCCTCGTCCTATTCTTCATTCTCCTCCTCATCCTCCACATCATTCCCCCCTCCAACTTATGGTGGTGGTGGTGGACAACAGGCCCATCATACTCAGCATCAGGAGAAAACCCCGTGCTGTCAGCAAACGAGGCGTCGCGCGATCGCGGATCGGCGACGCTGCTGGCGCGCACGACCTTCCTGCCGCCCCCCAGGGCGGCCGAGCGATCCCGATCGGCTATCGGACCCGTCCCTGGGCCTGGTTGAGCAACCTGCTAGCTCTGATATGGCGGGGGGGGGGGGCACTCTGCTCCCTGCCCGCTATCTCCCTGAGAACAGAACCTCCTCCCTGCCAGATTCGGCCTCAGACCAACACCTAACTTCCTGCCAAGCTTTTGGACGTAATCTGGCCCCTGCCAGGCCCCCAGAGGCGTCAAGAGGTCGCCAGGGACCTCCAAAGGTGAGGATCTGCGACGGCGGCAGAACTCACCCCTCCTCCCTCCCTCCCTCATCTCATCCTCATCCTGCTCCTCTTCCTCCTCCTCCTCCTCCTCCTCCTCCTCCTCCTCCTCCTCCTCCCCCCTCCCCTCTCCTCCCCCTCCCCTCCCCTCCTCCCTCCTCCCTCCTCCTCCTCCTCCCTCCTCCCCCCTCCTGCCCCCTCCTCCTCTCCTCCTCCTCCTCCCCTCCTCCTCCCTCCGCCTCCGCTCCTCCCCCCTCCTCCTCCTCCTCCTCCTCCTCCTCCTCCTCCTCCCTCCCTCCTCCTCCCTCCTCCTCTCCTCCTCCTCCTCCTCCTCCTCCTCCTCCTCCTAATTTCTTCGGGTTGGGTGGACCCTAAGTGCAAAGGCGGTAGCGTACCTCCTTGTCCTACTCCTCTACCTTGTTCTGCACGAGAAGCTCCACCTCATCGCACAAAAGGGGCCCGCCGTCAGGGCAGACCAAGCCCTTCCATGAGCTGTCTCCACAACCTGTGGCCGAGAAGAACACTTGCCTAAGATCTCGTGTAGGATCGACGCTCCCGACCCCCGCTGGGAGCACGCAACCTTCTTGACAAAGGGCGGGGACACGATCTCCAGCGGCCGAAAGCCCCAACGGGAACTTGCCGCCAGGATCCTACAGGCGCCGCCCAGGACCTGAGGCTTGGGCCCGGGACGCACCTTTGGCAGCACCCGAAGATCGAGAGGCGGCAGGCCTTCTCAGAAGGCGGCGGGGCCTCTCGGAAGCCCTCGCGAGCCTTCGGAGAGGCCTCCTCCCTGCTCCCTCCTCCGTCTCTGCCTACGGGGAGGGCTTGGAGGCACTTCTGGGGAAGCCGGCAGCACTCCGACCCTTCTGAGGAGGCCCGGCCCCTCGGACTTCCCCCCTGGGAGTCGCCGCCGAGGCGAGAGGAGAGCGCATCGATCCCCCCCCCTGAAGAGGCGCAGGCGCCGCCCGGCGCCGGCCCGGGGCCCCAGCAGCAGAGGACGCCGAGGCCGTGCATGGAGTTCGCGATCTGGCGCGACCTCGGCCCTCTCCCGCCGCTGCCACTCCCCTGCTGCGGAAGCCCCAGTATATACACGCCACCACCACCTCCATTCACCCTCCCTCCTCCGCCCTCCGCTTCCCCTCTTTCCTTGGAGAGAGAGAGGGGGTGAGGGATGCGGTGGAGTTTCTTTTTGGCCCGTACCTCCAGCGCCTCCGCTCAATCAGACTTGGGTGACGTTCCAAAAACTGCTAAGGCACTTGTTTTGTTCCCAACCATCCTGTGTTGGGCCCTCGTTCTGAATCAGCAGCGCTCCTCATCCACACCTCCTCCCTCCTCCTCCTCCTCCTCCTCCTCCTCCTCCTCCTCCTCCTCCTCCTCCTCCTCCTCCTCCTCCCCCTTCTCTCTCGTCGTCGTCTGGTAGTCGTCGTCGTGGTCGTCGTGGTCGACGTCGACGTCGACGTCGTCGTGGTCGTCGTCGTCGTGGTCGTCGTCGTTATGAAGACGATGATCATGATCCTAAACAGGATGATCATGATCATTGCCCTGAACCTGGTTATGATCATGATCATGACCACCATGATCACCATGATCATCATCATCATCATCATCATCATCATCATCATCATCATCATCATCATCATCATCATCATCAGCGTCATCAGTGTCATCAGCATCGTTATCAGCAGCAGCATGAGCAGCAGCATGAGCAGCAGCAGCATGAGCAGCAGCAGCATGCGCATCCGCATCCGCATCGCCATCTTCATCCTCATCATCAGATCACCATCATCATCCTTATCATCACCAACATCGTCATCGTCATCATAATCATCATCATCAGCATCATCGTCGTCGTCGTGGTCGTCGTCGTCGTGGTCGTCGTCGTCGTCGTGGTCGTCATCGTCGTCGCTGCCGTCGTGTCGTTGTCGTCGTCGTCGTCGTCATCATCATCGTTACCACCACCACCACCACCAAACCCACCAACATCATCACTAATTATCACTGTCATCGGCATCGTCATCATCACCACCACCATCATCATCATCATCAGCAGCAGCATCGTCACGAGCGTTATCACCAGCAGCATCAGCAACATCATCTGAGCTGTTCTGCTGTGCCGTTTTCATGTTGGGCCTCTGGAGGGGCCCTCGTGCCCACCTTCCCGGGGGGCCAAGGCGCCTCGGGCTGGAAAGCGGGCAGCCCCCCCCCGGGGAAGAGGGTCCAGATTCCCGTGGAGGGGGGCCCACGTCACGACACAAACTGCGACTTCGGAGGACAAATCCCCCGCTTTCGCTCCTCTGGATTCCCCCCCCCCCCTGGCGTACCCTCTGCGCCGCTCTCCCTGTCCATTTCCGGGCCCGCCCCCATTTCCCCTCCCCCTCCCTGCTCTATCGGTTCCCGAGGGGTCCGCTCTGGGCACTCCAGTCAGAATCCAGGCCGAACTCGATTTCGAACTACCCCCTCAGCGCTCTCCCTGCCCTCCCCCTCCACCTAATCTCCTGACCCTGCCATGCCCCCCAGTTTCATCTCTCCTCCTTCTCTCCTCCAGCTCGTCAAACCTCTCCTATGCCATCTCCTCCCCCACCCACACTCCCGATTTCCCCTCCCCAAGCTCATGCCGCCTCCTCTCCTTTTCTCCCCTTCAACGTCCCACGCTCCTCTATCCTCCCTTCCCCCTTCCCCCATTCCCCCCCCCCCTCCCCTGACGCACTACCGCTTCACTCTCAAACCAACACAAGGCGGGAGTGCCTCCGGACTCCGCCTCCCGCACTCCCTCCTCCTCGAGCTCCTCCCTCCTGCTGCTGTTCCTTGTAGTAGCACTATGCTTCTAACCGTTCGTCTTGTTCGCCTTCGTCCCTTACAGCCATCACCGACATCACTACCCAATATCCATGTATGGTCTCGTCTTGTGTTTTTCTTTGCCACCGCTGTACCACTCGTCGCCGTCCCTCTCAACGCCGTCGTCATTTCCGTGCACCGCCATCGCCGTACATGCCCTCATCGTCCTAGCCATCACGCGTCGCTGGCCTCTCGCGTTTCCTTGTTCAAGCACTCTTAGTGTTGTAACGTCCTTGCGACTTCTTCGTCTGCTCCTCCCCTCTGCGCGAGGAGGACAGGGCTGTGGGATGGGCACAAGCAGGCACACAGGGGTGAAGGGGACGAGGAGGGGGATTCGGCAGGAGGGGCGCATCATGTGACCATGGTGAACATGCCCCTGCCCACTGCGACGTGGCGCCCGCCCCGCCACTCTGACGACCCACCAAGCCACACCAACCCAACCCGAGGCAACCGTTGGGCGTGCCAATTTCCAGTGGGGGGAATGCCTGGACAATCGAGAAAACACAGCGGAGCCTGTACACCCCCCAGCCCGATTTGTTTTTATGAGAGGGTCTGGGACCTCCGGGTTCGGGCTGGGGTGGCTCGGTGAGTAGTGCCCCGCAGAGCCAGGCGCGCGGTCGAGCGAGAACAGGGGCGAGGAGGGAGGTGGGCGAGGAGGAGGACGGGGCTGATGGATCGGAGGTTCCATGACGGGGTCCTGAGGGATGGGGTCCGCAGGGTAGGAAGGGATCCCCGGGTGAATCTGCCCTGTTTGAGGAGCCTCGCCCTGAAGACCCCATCCATCCCTCGGGACCCCATCCTTGAACCACCGAGGGGAGGGGCACCAGGCATGGAGATGGGGGGGGGGAGCCGAGGCCGACAGGCGGGAAGAGGGGCGAGAGGGGGCGGACAACAAGCAATGCAACTGCCGCTGCTCCAGGGGACCTCTCCTGGGGTGCGTCGCAACCAGGAGCCCTCGCCACGGGTCCGGCCGTGGTGACGCGGGACGGGTCGCGGACGCGGTGCCTCCTCCTCCTCCTCCTCCTCCTCCTCCTCCTCCTCCTCCTCCTCCTCCTCCTCCTCCTCCTCCCTCCTCCTCCTGGGAGGAGGAGGAGGCTGCGGAGGACGCGGGACGACGACGGGGATCCACGGCCCACGACGGGGCGCGGCCGAGGCGAGGCCCTCGCACCCGAGGCCGAGGCCCGAAGAAGGGCAGGCGCGACCGCATCTTCTCGAGCAGCGCCAGGAAGCGCTGGTCCTGGAGCACCTGATGCCCCCCGGGCGGCCCCGGCACCGCCCGCCTGCCCCGCCCAACTCAGAGCTGATAACAAGGCAATTGTAGTGTTGGGCGGAAGGGGGTTGGGACGATACAGGGTACGACTGCGTAACAAGCACCTTGAACCTACGCGGTGAGACGGATGACCAGATCATTTCTCCCAGCCCCATCCCCCCAGCCCGACGATTGTCTCTCTGGAGAGCAAGTGTTGTGCAACACCCGCAGATCCGGGCGGCGCGGAACAAAGTGCGACGGTAAGACGCAGGCCCGGGAACATCAAGAACACTGGAGGAGGAGGAGGAGGAGGAGGAGGAGGAGGAGGAGGAGGAGGAGGAGGAGGAGGAGGAGGAGGAGGAGGAGGGAGGAGGAGGAGGAGGAGGAGGAGGAGGAGGAGGAGGAGGAGGAGGA